ATCAAAATTTGCAGGATCTTAGTGGAACCTTGATAAAAATGTTAAAATCTTGTTTCCTACTTCAAACACCCTATGGACCTGTATCTTTCACCATTCTCTCAGTTGCTGGGGAGGGGGAGAAACTTAAATTTAATATTTATGGCTCCTCCCCCTCTTCATTCCATGTCTGTCACCTGATGGCTCCCACCTGGCATGTGGCTGATCCCATTTACTTACTAGTTGGTCACTGGTTTGCCATGTAGCAGCCAGGTGGTCTTTTCTAAAAAGTAAATTGGACTGTGTTACTCTCCCTATCTAATCTCTCCAATGGCTTCTCATCTCACTTCAAATAAGGCCGAAGGCTTGCTCACAGCCTACTCAGTCCCACAGGACGTGGCCGATGACCTCTCTGGCTTCCTCTCTAATTGTCCTCCCCCCACTCACTCTGCTCCATGCCACATTTCCACCCCAGGGCTTTTGCATTTGCCATCGCCTCTTCCAGGAATACTCTTTCCTCAGATATGTGCCTGGCCTGCTTTCTCCTAGCATTCAGATATTTCTCAGACATCTTTTAGGGGAAGAATACCCTAAAATAGCAACATGTATTGACTAGTCAGTCATCTGTTGCTGAGTAATGAATTACCCCCCAAAACTCAGCATTTAAAACTACAATAGAGTTGCAAGCAAGCGAGCAGAAGGCAGTTCAGCAGCGAGAGTGGAGCAATGCCTAAATCAAAGGACTTTGTTTCTTCAAGCTCTTCTGGCAGTGATTCTGATGGTGCGGTTGACAAAAAGGTTAAAAAGGAAAAAGCAAGTTACTCCAGAAAAACCTGTGAAGAAGCAAAAGACTGGCGAAACTTCAAGAGCCCTGTCATCCTCTAAGCAGAGCAGCAGCAACAGAGATGTAACATGTTTCAGACTGGGAAAATGAGGTACGTCAGTGTTCAGGACTTTAAAGGGAAAGTCTTAATTGATATTAGAGAATATTAGATGGATCCAGAAGGCGAAATTAAACCTGGAAGGAAAGGTATTTCTTTAAATCCTGAGCAATGGACCTAGCTGAAGGGACAGATTTCTGACATAGATGATGCAGTAAGAAAACTGTAAAATCAGAGCCACATAAAACCTGTACTGTTCTAGTTGTTTAAATCTGTCTTTTTACATTGGCTTTTGTTTTCTAAACATTGTTTTCCAAGCTATTGTATATTTGGATTGCGGAACAATTTGTAAGATGAATACTTTTTTTCATGTGCATTATTAAAAGTGTTCTGAGTGAAAAAATAAAAATAAAAATAAAACTACAATAAACATTCATTGTCCTCTCACAGTTTCAGTGGTCGGGAATCCTTTTTTTTTTAAGATTTATTTATTTATTTATTATGATAGACAGAGAGAGAAAGAGAGAGAGAGGCAGAGACACAGGAGGAGGGAGAAGCAGGCTCCATGCTGGGAGCCTGACGTGGGACTCGATCCTGGAACTCCAGGATCGCGCCCTGGGCCAAATGCAGGCGCCAAACCACTGAGCCACCCAGGGATCCCCATGTGGTTGGGAATCCTTGAGCAGCTTGACAGAGTGGTTCAGGCTCAAGGTATCTCATGATGTGACAATCAAGATGGTAGCCAGGACTGCGGTCATCTGCAGGCTCGGCTGGGGCTGGAGGGCCTCTGGAGTTTCCAAGTGGGTGCTGTTTGGTAGGAGGCTCCTGGCATGGGGTTAATCTCCACGCTGGCATCTCCCACCACAAGTGAATGCTCTCAGAACATGGCAGTCAGATGGCTCCCCAAAGCAGAGCAGATGGCCTGGGATAGACCGACAGTGCCAAAGGGAAGCTGTCCTTTCAGAACCTCATCCCGGATTTCACACACTGTCACTTCTGCCACCTTCCACTCAGCAGAAAAGTGGCCAAGTCCAGTCCATATTCAAGGGGAAAGGCAGCAGGCCCCCCTTTGAAGGGATGCATGTCAAAGAAATCACGTTAAAACTGCAACACATCGCCATCACTCCCTACCTCCCACTCTAATCTCTCAGCGGTACTTGTTCATTTGCTGTAGCTTTGAGTCAGGGATCTGAGTTTCCCCCTGCGGTACCCCTAGCACTCAGAGCAGCACCTAGAGCATGGCAGGGCTCAGCAAATGTCTGCTGAGGGAAGTAAATGCTCAGTCTTGTCCATGGTAGGATCCACTGGGGGACTTTGTGATGCCGGGAAGATGGCTTTTGGGAAAAGTGGGACTTGGCCAGTCAGAGAGGATGGGAACAGGGATAGGAGGATCTCGTGGTGGAGGCAGGCAGTAGAACCATGTGGACAAGATCAGGATGAGAGAGCAAGCCAGAACTGTTGGTGTCTGCAGCAGGACCCTGGGCATCCTTGGGCCTCCCCGGATCAAAGGACAGAGAGCCTGACTCCAACCAGTCCACATCTGCCAGCCCGTTTCCTCCATCCAAATTTGGAGGCAGGCCTTCACAGCAGGTAAGCACCGGGGGCTACCCCACCATCTGCTCACTGGACTGGCCATGGGCAAGGTTTCTGCAAAGCTTCTGCACATTCCTCCCTCCTCATCAGTTTCCTCCTCCCATACTGGTCTCCTCTTGGCTGAATGTGTCCATAAGGGGCTCTCAAGCCCAGGGATTTACCTCCAGAGAGGATGTAGAAATGGGTTCTTGTCCTAGTTTCTGATCCAGCCAAAATCCCAGGGAAGAACCTGGAGTCGTCTGCTAGGGTTTTGTAATGACCCCTCGGCCAGTCTCCCAATCCACTGAGCCAAAGAGGGCTGCACCTGTGACTCACAGCCCCTCCTGAAGCATGGGGGAGAGGGAGGAGCTGTGGCCCCCACAGGAGCACCTCCTCAAGGGAGGCCTGGGGCAGCCTGGGCCTCCCTCTCCACCCAGGCCCCTGAGTCCTCTCCACATAATTTGACTGAAGAGGATTCAGAGGGGTCCAAGTCCAGGCAGGTTCACCTGTAGTAGCAGGTCAAGCAAGGCCCAGGCCTTCTGTGGCTGCATCACCCCCCACCCCTTTGATGAAAGAAGCTCACAGAATAAAATGGACAACAGAGACCAGGAGGGGCTCACCCACGGGAGGGGGCTGAGGTCTGGTGGTCAGTCACAGCCTCCGCTCCATCCCTGAAAATTTGGAATCTGTGCCAGAGGCTCAAGACAAAAGCATGGGGGGATCCCTGGGTGGCGCAGCGGTTTGGCGCCTGCCTTTGGCCCAGGGGGCGGTCCTGGAGACCCGGGATCGAATCCCACATCGGGCTCCCGGTGCATGGAGCCTGCTTCTCCCTCTGCCTGTGTCTCTGCCTCTCTCTCTCTCTGTGACTATCATAAATAAATAAAAATTAAAAAAATTAAAAAAAAAGACAAAAGCATGGGAGACATGGTGGTATGCTGGCAAATTCATTCAAAGGGGAAAAATAAGTGCTGATTTGCAGAGTTTGATGATTTCCCTGTTGTAACTGCTTCCACTGTACCCAACTTCAAATTCCCAGCTGTGCAAAACCTAGCTCACAGATTTCTGAATATTTAGAAACTGCCTCTCATGCACCCAACTGGCGGATGGGGGTAGATGGGGGGAGCCAGGCTTTCTGGCTGCAGCCCCCTGCTGAATTATTTCCTCCCTGAAGGGTCCTTGAGCTGTCTGGGCCATACCAGAGCTGGCTACCCTGCTGGCTGCTCTCATGCACCACAAGCCTCCAAGCTCTGACCACCACAGGACACAGGACACAGGCCACACAAGTTTGGAGACCTGCCAAAGACCCTGTGGAGGTGGGGCTGACTCTGGCCTCCCAAGAGCCCCCAATATATCCTTCTGTGAGGACCCAGGGATGTAACTAGGCCTAGTGTTCCCTCCACTGTGGGCCTCAGTCCCGGAACAGAGGGAGATGTGGACCTGCAGCTGGCTGCGGATAAGGCAACCCCCCAGCGATGATTCCTTCTCATTAAGAGAGAAGGGGTGAAGAAAGGGAACGTGCCAAGAGCTGGGACCCTACCTCTCAGAGCCAGGGACATCTTTTGGTGTCTGTGTTTTGCTCTAGGGAGTGGGGGTGGGGCATGGGGTCTGCGTAGTGTTGAGAAGTGCAGGGAGACCCTGAGGGGAGGGGCATGTCTTCTCCCCTCTCCGTTGCTCAGAATGTCACTTAGGTGTGGGGATAGGCCTGCTTTATCCCTACTGGGGGCTTTTGCAGTTGGGTTTGCAGAATCCTCAGTTGCTATTGGAAACAATGATGTCACTGGCAGGGGGTGGAGCTTCAGCCATCCTTTGAGTTAGGGAAGTGAAGCACTCTCCAGGGGTGTAGGGACAAAGAATTAGGATCCTGAAGGTGAGAGGGGCAAGGAGGCTCTGGAAAGGGGCAGGAGGAGTGGGGGCTGCAAGTAAATTAGGAAAGGGGAGGGTGAAGAGTGGAAGCAGAAGATATGGGGTGTTGGTCTTGACACACACCTCACCAGAGCAAGTGCCTTCTGATGTATAACCTTGGTTCCATCTGCTACAAAGAGAACTCCCTTTGGCCTTGGCTTCTCCATAATTGATTTGGGTCCAGACCCTGGGACGCTCCTGGAAGATCCAGCTCAACATGGAGGCAGCCACTGTCACCCTTTTTATTCTTCTCAGCCCTCTTGGGGGGGATCCAAGTCACATGGCCCGGCAGATGGGGTCTCTCCCCCATTTTTGAGCCTTTCGGAGAAGGGAACCCCCCTGTTCCTCCCCCAGAGGCATGGCTTAGAGCCTTTCCACACCCCTAGGTCTCCAGCCAGCAGAGTCAGGTCCCGAAATATCGTTCACAAGGGGTGAGGACTCGTGCCCGTGCACACGCGCGCACACACACACTGCTAGGACACATTCGGTCATATTAAAGACACACAAGGCTGCCGCAGTGATACGACCTCTCAAACCCCTCTCAACCCACCTCCCTGCGGGTCACTATGCCAGCAACCCCTCCAAACACACCCGCGCGCACACGCACACTCGCGCACGGGCTCCCCCCATCGCGGACTCTGATACATGGTCGCACCAACGCAGGCGCACACTCCGGCGCGGGAGGCGCCCCTCCGTGTTGGGAAGCGGGGGCGGCGGGAGGGGCAGGAGACGCCAGCCCCACTCGCGGCTCCGCAGCTGCCGCGGTCGCCGCAGCGTCGCAGCGTCGGGACCAGGACCAGGGAAGGCGGCGCAGAAGCCGCGTCCGCCGCGTCCGGTAGGTACGCGGCGCCTGGAGCAGCGCCGGGACCCGCTTCAGCACCGCGGACAGCGCCAGCCGAGAGAGGGGTCCACGCGCGCCCGCCCGCCCGCCGCCTGGGGCTCGGTGCCCTCCTCCCTCCCGCGCAGCGTCCCGCACTACGGCTCCAGGGGAAGACGTGGCGTCCCCAGCCCGCGGGAGCGGGGACGCGCAGGACGGCCGGGACACCCCGCTGGGGATGCACCGAGGGCCTGGCATTCGAGCTGCCCAGAGCTAGGGCTCTGCCTGGAGCCCATGAGCACCATGCGCCTGCTGACACTCGCCCTGCTTTTCTCCTGCTCTTTTGCCCGCGCCGCCTGCGACCCCAAGATTGTCAACATCGGAGCTGTGCTGAGCACGCGGAAGCACGAGCAGATGTTCCGTGAGGCCGTGAACCAAGCCAACAAGCGGCACGGCTCCTGGAAGATCCAACTCAATGCCACGTCCGTCACCCACAAGCCCAACGCCATCCAGATGGCCCTGTCGGTGTGCGAGGACCTCATCTCCAGCCAGGTGCCCACCACACCCCACCAGGGCTCCCACTGTGCAGCAGCTCTTGCCCCTCCCCCTGCTACCTCCCCACCATCCTCCCTCCTCCACCCTCCATCCCTCCTAGTGTCCCAGTTTCATCTCATCCTTTCCTACCCCTCCTAAGAGAGGACACCTAAGTGAGCTAGCTCATTCTGGAAAATTCTGGTCTCACTAGCAGCCAAACCCCAGTTCTTGCCACATCTTGCTCCCCACCCCCCCACCCCCACTGGTCACCTGCCACCCTGGTCAGTCCTCACAAGGCTCCAGGGCTTCAGGTCCTGACCAATGTGCGCAGATGTGGGGCAAGCATGCGTGGTTTGTTTCATGTTGTGGTTTGTTTCATATCATGGTGAGAGGTGGGTAGCCAAGGCGTACAGGCAGAGGTACTGTCCCAGCTGCACGCGTGCACTCTGTGCAGGCCTTTAAACAGGATGGGACCTGGGGCCATCTTTGTCTCTGCTTCCCCCCTCCCCTTCCCCCATCCATTGGTTCCTCTGAGATGGGAATGCCCCAGGTGTTGAAGCAGGGTGTTCTGTGGGGTAGGAATGGGGACTGTGCCGTGGGAGGTGTCAGGGCACAGCGTGGGAGTCACTGAAAGCCAGCGCTGCGGGGGAACACATGACTCCGGGGATTTTGCCTGTCAGAGCTGTCCGCCCCGGGCCGTGCTGCCTGCGGAATTCCAATGAACCCACGGGATCACTGCAATGCAGCCTTTTATGTAAGAATCAGGGCCAACACTGGGCCAAATGATGCTCATCCTCGCTCACCTGACAGACACTCCACGCCTGAGGACATGCACACTCACAGGGGCATGCATTCACATCTGTGTTTATGCACAGAGAGGCCTGGACTTATACCAGGACACACTCATGCATCACCATTACACAATCAGTTGCACATGCTCACTCACACACACCTGCCTGACATACATGCCTACCCATGGACACACATGCTCATGTGCCACACACTGCTTGGCATACCCAGGTGCACATGCAAACACAGGTGCTGTCACATACAGACTCAATCACACACACACATGCACATGTACATGTACATGTGGACATGTCAGGGCATACATTCATACCCATGCACATTCCAGCACCCACTTGTGAACACCTGCATGGTCAGACACTCATGCATACACAGACTGGGCACTTTTGGATGCAGACTGGAGGGGACGGCGAGTGCAAACAGCTCCAACAGCAGAGGCTGGACCTCTGGGACTCTCGGCCTCACAAGCCACCTCCATGCTCCCAGCCCTGAGCACTATAGACAGGACAACATGGGTCATGTGTCCTATCTGGGATGAGGCAGAGAGACATAAAAAAGTGGAGTTAGAGAATCCAGGTAGGGTGCTTTCTGGGGACCCCTGCTCCAACTCACAGTTATGCTGTCCATGAGCATTGTTCCTTCAGAGAAGAGCCAATGCCAGGAGCAAAGATGACATCAGCAGCTGCCACTCACCGAGCACATCCTATGGGCAAATGTGGTGCTAGCATGGCAGCCGTCATCCCTACAGTGTGGGGCTGGAGCATGCCACCCCTGTTCCATTTCCAGGAAATGGTTGTTCAGAGAATGGAAAGCAGAGTTGGGACAGACGCAGGTCCTTCTAACGTGAGGGTGGCTGGGAATTGCCAAGCCGTTTGCTCCCTGCCACCACCATTCCCCTGCCTTGGAGGACTGAGCTACTGGCTTCAGACCTGCCCACAGGGGCCGTGGTAGGGCAGGAAGGCTAGGCTGCCCCCTCCCAGCACTTCCCTTCCCGTCCTTGAGGATGTGATTGGAGCTTCTAGTCAGGACTGGGTCTTGTTCAAACTGGGCTGAGCGCAGCCAGCCCCTGGAAGACACGTGCAAAAGGACAGGGCTCCAGGGCTCCTGGCCTGGCTCCTCCCGTAAAGCTCAACCTGTGGGTTACATACAGACCTCTCCGAGTGCCTTGCAGTCCCTGGAGCACTGGCCTCCACACCCTGGAGGGATGGTGGGTGGCATGGGTGTGCTCGTCAGCATGACGCAGGACCCACCACTCCACTAGCCCATGCTAGGGGTGGTGTGTACCTCCTGGGACATCACAAGAACAGTCCTTGGTCCTCCCTTTTTTTTATTTTTCATTTATTTATGATAGTCACACAGAGAGAGAGAGAGGCAGAGAGACAGGCAGAGGGAGAAGCAGGCTCCATACACCAGGAGCCTGATGTGGGATTCGATCCTGGGTCTCCAGGATCACGCCCGGGGCCAAAGGCAGGCGCCAAACCGCTGCGCCACCCAGGGGTCCCTTGGTCCTCCCTTTTGGGGTCTCAGTACACACTCAGGATAGTCCCTCCAGGACCAGGGGGTGAAGGGAGTACCAGGGCAGGGAAAGTGCGGGGAGGCGTCTGTCATCCCCCATGTGTCCTGTCTGCCTCCTGGAGTCTTGCTCTGCCTCTGACTCACTCCTATATATTTTTTAATACTCTGAGGGTGGTTTTAGGGTCTCGTCCCCTTGACTGGGGGTGTGTAACCCTTGGGCTGCATCCCCACCCCTGGCCTGCTGGGTTCAGCCTCCGCTGCTTCTGGGCAGCCAGCTCCACTGCAGTGCCCACCCCACCTTCACTCCCCACTTGAGCTGACCCTGTCCCCTGTGTCCACAGGTCTACGCCATCCTAGTTAGCCACCCACCTACCCCCAACGACCACTTCACTCCCACCCCCGTCTCCTACACAGCTGGCTTCTACCGCATCCCCGTCCTGGGGCTCACCACCCGTATGTCCATCTACTCAGACAAGGTAAGCCTGACCACTCAATGGGGGCCCAGCTGGCTCTGTTCCTGTGTTCAGACCCAGTGGCTGAGTCCTGCAGCCCAGGGCCACTGGCAGCTGCCCTGGGGAAAGGGAGGAGGGCAGGGGCACAGAGATGCTCAGACCACAGGCTCTGGGCTCAAGGAGCAGCAGGGTAAGACGTGAGCTCACGCATCCATGCATGTTTGCACACTCATACACACACACAAACTCACTGATATGCATGCCCGTGCACACCAATACACAGTCTCCTGGCATGCAAACTCAGACTCACAGACTCACAAGTACCAACTCAAACATTTACACTAAATTCGTGTGCACACGCTCAAACACATTCCCAGGAAAACTCATGTGCTCTTTTATTTTTTTAGGATGTTATTTATTTATTCATGAGAGACACAGAGAAAGGCAGAGACACAGGCAGAGGGAGAAGCAGGCTCCATGCAGGCAGCCCAATGTGGGGCTCAATCCCAGGACCCCAGGGTCACACCCTGAGTTGAAGGCATATGTTCAACCACTGAGCCACCCAAGCATCCCCACTCATGCACTTTTATGCACACTCACACCAAGCACAGTGTTGCATTCACAGACACAGACATGTTCACACACACACACACACACACACACACACACACACACACTCAGTCTGGCAGATGTCCCACTAGCAGGTGACAGGCACCAAAACAAGCCCTTGGAAATAGCAAAGGTCCCCATGGGCCCAGAGAAGGGACAGGCAGGTGGATTTGGGGAGCCGGAGGGGGGCTACCAGGGGAGGAAAAACCTGGAAGGGATGCAGTAGGCAGCCATGAGGTTGTGGCTCCCAGCCCTTCCCACTGCGGGGCACAGGTGAAAGCAATGTGTGCATGCACACAGGGTAACAGAGGCGGCAGCTCGTGGCAGGAGGGGCTGGCCTGGGGTCTGCAGGCCCCGGGGCTGTAAGCAGCACCGCTCAGCAACATGTAGAGCCCCTGTGGCCCCCGGGTGGGAAGCAGGGTCCAAGCAGGGTCCAGCTGAGCCATCCAGTCCTGGAGCAGCAGCCGGAGGAGCCAAGAGATCTCCAAGTTGGCATCTCATGAGGTGGGGAACTCACTCTAGGCCACGCAGCTCTCCCAGTGTGTATGCCCACAATTCTGGGAGGACTCCTTAGCTGGGGATGCAGTGAGCCGCCTAGAGGCTGGGAGACCCCCATGGCCTGCTCCCCACCTTCCTCCAGACCTTGGGCTACCTGCAGACAAATCAGGAGGGGTCAGAGGGGGGCTTCCCAGGCCCTACCTCCTCTCCTGGCCAGGAGCCTACAGGTCCACATAAAGCTGCCTAAGGCACAGAGGTCATCCCAGCCAGGGCCAGGCTGTCTTGGGGAGGTTAGCGGTGGGTCTGTCCAGGGCGAGGGGAAAGTGAGACCAGAGCCAGTATCTCCAGGAGGCCCCATGGGAGGAAGGCACTTGGAGGCTGGAGCAGCAACCCCTTTCTGTGGCTCTGACGGCCCAGCTTGCAGCTGAAGCACCCAAACTGTTCAGATGCGCTCAGCCCTCAGCGGTGGGGGGGGGGGGGACGGGGGCAGGAGCAAGGAGGTTGGGGATGTTTTTCTGAGCCCTCCAACCTCCTTAGCTCTCTGGCACTCAGATGCAAATGGAAGGCGTGGGCGCCAGGCGTGGGTGCCAGGCGTGGGCTACCAGGGCAGTGCCGGGAGGAGGTGTCCAAACCCCAGCCCACACCCAGGTTGTGGTCCAGCTCCCCGGTCTAACGTGAGGCCAAACCTAATGGCCAAACCTTGTGACTCCACCCTAGCCCCCCTCATGGTCCCAGGCCACTGTCAACCTGTGCCCAACAGCGGACCAGGAAGGCCTGGGTCAGAGCCGATCTAAGACCCCAACCACCACCCCCTTGCAGCCCCAGTGGCAGGTGGATGAGGGACAGAGGAGCATTCTTGCCCTCAGCCTCCAAGGCGCCGCCCCTCAGGCCACAAAGAGGGAGCAGGTAAAAACATAACGTGGGCATCCTGGGGGACCGTGACGGCAGCATGGCTGTGCAGGGACACCAACCACCAAAGGGACTAGTGCTCCCCGGTGGACACGGAGAAGCTGGACTGAGGAGCCTGCTCCACGCGTGTTCTGCCATGCCCTTCCCAGGCCCTTCATGCTTACATGTGGAAAGGGAGGCAGGGCCAGCAAGCAACGACCTCTGGACTTGGGGGCTAGGTAGCCCCAAATAAAAACTTCTGACAAACACTACTTTTATATAGATTGGGGAAGGAGCCTGCATGAAGCCCGGGTGGGGATCCTTGAGACGCTGCATGTCAATGAGAACCTTCCAGAGCCCAAGCTGTCCTGCAGCAGGGAGTGGCTACGGCAGGGGGGGGGAGGTGCAGGGAGCACACCCTAGGACCTGGCGTGGTCAGAGTGCTGCTGGGCAGACCCCCAGCTTCTGTTTCTGAGATCAGAGGACGTGGCCCGCAGTGGGATGGGGTCCCCGGGTCTGGCAAGTGTGCCCCGCAGTGAGAGAGTGCGCCGTCCTCCGCCCTGGGGTCTGCCCTTGTCTCCGGGGGTGCGGGCCAGCTGGGGCCGGGCCTCTGTCCGGTGACGCCCCTCAGCCCCGCCGCCGTGTTCCCGCAGAGCATACACCTGAGCTTCCTGCGCACGGTGCCGCCCTACTCCCACCAGTCGAGCGTCTGGTTCGAGATGATGCGCGTGTACAGCTGGAACCACATCATCCTCCTGGTCAGCGACGACCACGAGGGCAGGGCCGCGCAGAAGCGCCTGGAGACGCTGCTGGAGGAGCGGGAATCCAAGGTGAGGCCCGGGCCGCAGGCGGGAGGAGCAGGAGGCGCCGCGCAGCCGAGGAGCCGAGCGGGAGCCGGCGCTGCCGCCGCTGTGTCTGTGGCCCGTGTGTGAACACCCTTTCTTTCCATCGTGCATGGTCAGCACCTCTCCGTCTGGCGAGCGCCCGCCCCGGCCTGTTCTCGGCTCATTTCACTCGCTTTGCCATTAGTCGAAATCTCCTTCGTGTCAGTCCCTGCGGGGCGAGGGCAGGACCACCTGGAGCTCCGCAAACACCCCTCCCCTCCCCTCTCCCTTCCCCTCCCCTCGCAGTCCCGCCCCCAGCCAGGCCCCGCGCCCCCTACCCAGGGCCTGCCCCCCCTACAGAGAACCCTCACCCTCCCGGCTGGGACCACACCCTCCCCAGGCCAAGCCCCGCCTCGCCTGCCGCCCCTCCCCCCTCCCACCTCGGCTGAAGGCTGCCGGTTGTCCGGTGTCCTTCCGGGAGCCCACGCCCACCCAGTCGGCCACCCCTCCCACTTCCCCGTGGTGAGCCCCGTGGCCGCCCCCTCACCCTCTCCCTGGGGCTGGGCTCTGGATTCCCCCAAGAGACCCAGGACTTGCCTGGCTCTAGATACACAGAGCCCGGCCCTGGTGCCGGTTGCAGCAGAGAGAGCACGGTGGCAATGTCTGGGGGTCCAGGGGACCCCCATCTCCTTCCTTGTCCACCCCAACTGGCAGCTGGAGGAGGCCCAGGCTCCTATCATCACCCAACCCGGGGCCCTGGGTGCTCAACACCTGAGCCACCGCCCCTGAGTCAGGGTGGAGGCCAAACTGCGCAGACAGTGGGGGAGGCCTAGGCTGGGGCGGCCTGGAGGCCAGACTGGCGGGATGGCAGAGAGCATGTTCTGTCCCGGAAGTCAGAGCCGGCTTCAACAAACCTAGTGCCACCCCCAGGCCCCTCACAGGCCCCTGAAGGGATAGAGGGCATGGCTGGGGTGGGTGAAGCCAAGCCAGAGGGCAGACTCAGAGTGTCCTGGGGGGGCCTGCTGTGGGAGATCGGCTGGGTCTGAGAGGGAGGGCTGACCACCAGCGCCGTGGGCCCCACTCCTCCCCAGACAGCAGCCCCCAGTGCCTGGCAGGCTGGTTACCCCCTGGCATGCCCACCAGTGGCTGCACACACCCGCTCACACGCTTGCCAGCCATGTCCCTGCACACCCAGCCACGGGCACCCATGTTCACAGTGACATGCAGTCATTCCTAAGACAGTTCCCTCACACATCACATGTCCCGCCACAGACAAAGATCATACCTGGACATGTGGCCCCTGGGCACACTCACCATGTGCACTCACACACACACACGCAGACGCCCCACAGCTGCACACCACCCCTGTGCACGCACACACATAGTCCTCACACTCGCTCTCCAGTGCACACGTGAGTTGATGGTTGTGCACACACCTGTCAGTGAGAACAGGCACCCAGGCCTCTAAGGGAGGCAAAGGGGAGGATGCCAGGAGGGGAGGGACAGAGGGGACAGGGCTCGAGGGAGGGGCTGCTCACCCTCCCCACACAGGACTGCCTGGGGTGGGGTGGCCCTTGCTGGGACCACAGAGCAGGTGCATGGCACGGGTGGGGGAGGCAGATGGGACCCCAAAGGGACATGTTTGGCATGGACACAGACAGGGCCACCCTTTGTCCCATGTGTGACCATTTCTAAGAGCACAGCTCCATGGCTGGGAGCCCCGGTGGCCCCCATGCCCCCTCGTCCCCAGCACTGCCCCGGCCCCCAGCCCCGCTCGGGCTTGGTGTTTGCGAGCTCCAGGTATGTGCCCGTCTGCAGACGTGCCGAGGAGGTGGTGTGGTTGCTTTAGCGCCGTCATTTTCAACCGTTTATAATCTTCTTCTGTGTCTGCATATTTTCTCTGTGCACATTATTCATCAGAGTAAAAAAAGGAACTATGAAAACCTCGACCAACTGTCCTATGACCACAAGCGCGGACCCAAGGTATATATGCATGGACGTGCACGCCACCCACCGACTAGGGAGCCCTGGCCTCCGGCGCCTCGGCCACTAGGGCCGCTGTGGCCCAGCCGGGCTGCGCCGCAGGCCTGAGCCTTGAGGAGAGTGAGGTTGTGAGGCAGGCAACCGCAGGCAGGAGAGGGCAGGACGGGCCTCGGGGGTGTCCGCGGCCCGCCCAGCGGCCTCAGCCTCAGCCTGCACCCCAGAAGCAGGCACGGCCGCAGGAGAAGCTGCTCTCCGGGAAGTGCATGCGAACCTCTGGGACCCCCAGGGTTTCCTCGTGGAACCCAGGAGGGAGCCTGCCCGCCCGGCTGGCTGCCTGCGCGGTCCGACCGCTCCTGCAGGGGCCTGCAGGGTCAGGCTTGAGAGGATCTCCCGTGGTTTTGGAAAGGTCGGCCCCATCTCTGCTCCCGGTTGCATTCCAAAACTCTTCTGTTTCCTGTCCGCTGCACGCATCCTTCTGAGTCTCAGCCCACCTCAGCTTGCATGCTCAGTGCAAAAGTGAGGGCAGGAGAGAGATGGAGCGAGCACAGGAGAGCAAGGAGGCCGAAGAGAGGACAGCGAGTGAGGCCAGGCCAGGCCAGGCAGGAACCAGCCAGGCAGGTGCACAGTGCAGGTGGCAGGTGCAGGCTGAGGCAGCCCTAGCTAAGCTGCCTCTGGGTTCCTAGCAGCTGCAGCCCAACTCTCGCCCCCGAGGCGCTGTGTCCCCTACCCTGGCCCCCTGCTGACACCTCTGCTCACACCGCAGGCTGAGAAGGTGCTGCAGTTTGACCCGGGAACCAAGAATGTGACGGCCCTGCTGATGGAGGCACGAGAGCTGGAGGCCCGGGTCATCATCCTCTCTGCCAGGTGAGGCTGGGCTCGACCCCTCCCCCTACTTCCCCAGGGTTGCACCTGGGCAGGGGCACCGTTAGTCTGAATCAGACTTGAGGCTACCAAAACGTGCTATTGCCGAGGAGAGCCCCCCGCCCCTCCCATGACGGTACACCTGGCCACTGGCCGATGCAACCCCCTTTACCTGTCTATCCCTCCCCCTTCCAGTCACCTGTTGCTGCTTGCTCTGAGGTGGGAGGTGGAGAGGTCCCTGCCCTAAGGAGGGCAAACATGGCCCGAGATATGACACAGGACTCTGGGAGCCAGGCTCAGAGGAAAAGCCCAGGGAAGTGATGTGTGGGTGTGCAGGTGAGCCCAATGAGAAGGCCACAGCAGGCAGAGAGCCGGAGTCTGAGGACATAAGAGGGATTGCAGCAGCTGCAGTGGGCAGCTCGAGAAGGGAGCCAGTTAGGGACCTGTGGACACCAGGCTGCCGCTGGCCAGGGCCTGACCCACCCTGACCTTGGCAATGAGGCCACAGTAACAGCCTCCCTACCTGAGGTCCCCCAGGAAGGGAAAGTGCAGGCCTCCTGGGCTCTAGGGAAAGGAAGAGCCCTGCCCCACGGAGTAGCCAGGAGGGCCCACGTGGACACAGCCCCTCTCTGCCCTTCCCTGGAAGTACTGTGGGCCCCAGCAGAGTGGACAGAGGCACGAGTGGTCGTCCTGCCCACAGGAGGCTTCCCCAAAGGCTGCTGTCCAGAGGGCCACACAGAGGAAGCCGTACTCTGAGTCACAGGGCAGGCATCTGTTTTTTTCAGTCAGCAAACCTCAGATACAGAGCCAGATGCCCCCTGTCTTGGGGCTGGGGAGGGCAGGGCCCAGCAAGGCTCCTTGGACTGGGAGGCAGGGAGCCCCGCTCTCCCCACAGAGGGTGGGTGCTGCAGGGAGGAACTAGAAGGAGGAGGCCCAGGGTCCAGCCTGTTTTACAGCAGGTGACCTGGCTCAGGGTCTCCGGTCACTGGCCCAGGCCAACCAGCCAGCCCTGGGCACTTTGGGGAGGCGACCAGGAGAAAGGGCTAAGGCCCGGGTGAGGTCAAGGGGCCGCCTGGTCCCTCTCAGAGCAAGCCTCCTCCAGAACACATGAACATGCATTGTACACATGTTATATAGACATGCACATGTGTATGCACCCACATGCATGTATGCACACCATATACATGCCACACAGCACACGCATGCACATGTTGTACCACACATACATGCACACGAAACATTCACACACATGGTACATGCACATAGAGGCACAATACAGCATATACCACACACACTTATATATACGAACATCTGCATAGCTATATACACGTGCATACACACCACACATAATGTCCTCCACACCAGCATGCACAGGGCATGTGTATACCCACATATATGTACACACACCATAGCATGGCACACACTATATGCATGCATCTACCCCCACCCGTGTTTATACACACTGCCAGGAAGGTCTAGTACTCACATGGCCACACAGCCATCACGTCCACATAAGGCCCCTCCCCGGACTGTAAGACTGGGGACCCCCTCCCCTCACATGAGGGCTTGGAGCAGAGACGCCAGAGTCCTGCCACAGAGGCCACCGGCTGCCCCTCACGCCCAGGTCCCCAGGGGCCAGACCAACAAGGGACCAGTATACATGTTGTCCGGACCCTGCTACTTCCACCCAACACCCTGGCTCCTCCTTCACGAGGGCTGTTAAGAACATTTTTTTTTTTTATGATTTTATTTAGGGACACCTGGGAGGCTCAGTGGTTGAGCGTCTGCCTTTGGCCCAGAGCGTGATCGCGGGGTCCTGGATCAAGTCCCGCATTGGGCTCCCCACATGGAGCCTGCTTCTCTCTCTGCCTGTGTCTCTGCCTCTGTGTCTCTCATGAATAAATAAATAAAATATTTTTTAAAAAATTTTTATTTGAGAGGCTGCACATGAGTGGACAGAGGCAGAGGGAGAAGTAGACTCCCCCACTGAGCAGGGGGCCTGATGTGAGGCTCAATCCCAGGACCCCGAGATCATGACCTGAGCTGAATGCAGATGCTCAACTGACTGAGCCCCCCAGGTGTCCCTGTTGAGAGCATTTTGTGGAGAGACCTCATTAAGCCAGTCTTAATTTTTTTTAATTTATTTATTTATGATAGTCACAGAGAGAGAGAGAGAGAGAGAGAGAGGCAGAGACATAGGCAGAGGGAGAAGCAGGCTCCATGCACCGGGAGCCCGATATGGGATTCGATCCCGGGTCTCCAGGATCGCGCCCTGAGCCAAAGGCAGGCGCCAAACCGCTGCGCCACCCAGGGATCCCCAGTCTTAATTTTTGAGCAATTTTCTACCTACAGAATGCAGAGAGGTTATTTCTCAAATGTCTTTTTTTTTTTTAAGATTTTATTTATTTATTCATGAGAGACAGAGAGAGAGAGAGAGAAGCAGGGACATAGGCAGAGGCAGAAGCAGGTTCCATGCAGGGAACCCGATGTGGGACTCGATCCTGGGACTCCAGGATCACGCCCTGGGCCGAAAGCAGGTGGCAAACCCCTGAGCCACCCAGGGAACCCCCCAAATGTCATTCTTATCTTCTGGAGATGTCTTTTCTAGAACCGCTTACTTTCCTAAAACAGTTTGATAGATCGATCAGGGTTTTGCCCCCAACTTTTTACTAGTGATTTTGATTTACATAGAGACAAGCACAGTGTGCTCCTCCCACTCAGCCAAGCGTCACAGACCTGAACTAGGTCACGCAGACAGGCTTCTCGGTCAGGTTCAGTGGGGACCTTGGTCCCCTACAGACACAGTGCTGGCTCTGCTGGCGGTCCTGGCTGGACCCTTTCTTTTGGTCAAGGGTGTGGTGCTGCCCAGATCACCTCTCTGTGTATTGCTTACACCTGACAGTAGCATGTGATGTAGAGCAAACACTGAAGGTTTGCATTTCCTCATTGGCTAATCCTTGAGAAAACTGGGGGCAGACCACTTAGGGACCTAGAGCCACCTCAGTTTCCAGAGTCAGTCATTGTGAAAATAACACTCAGACAATGTGTCCAACCCCTCTATACCATGCTGCCCATGCGTTAGAGAAGCAAAATGCCAGCTATGGTCTAGGCCTACCTGGGGCCAGGTCAGGCTGGCAGAGAAGGGAATGTGGGAGCAGGGGGAGGCTCCCCAGTGGCGTCCATAGCCCCACAGGCCCAGGGTCCTTGTCTCGATGAGAAGCCCTAGAGGACCAGGTACACAGGGGCTCACCGGTAAGGACACCCCAAGAGCTCAGGATCATATGCCCCTCCAAGGCAAAGCCTACGCTGTGTCCTGTCATGGCCCCAGCCCTGGGTGGCAAGATGCTCACAGCTGCTGGGAAGACTCCAGAGTGGGAGCAGCAACCCTCGTCTCTCTCCAGTGGTCTTGGCTGTGATGCTGAGGACAGTTCCCAGGTGTGGGGTCCCACCAACATCTGACCAACCAGGACAGTCCCTGGACCTTTGTCTTGCATGTGTGGGTATGGAGAACCAGAGCATGTGAGGGTTACCAGGAGGTCACGGGAGCACAGGCTCTGGGGTACTGTCCAGACACAGACCCAACTCTGCAGATTACCATCCCCTCTGTGTTCTGGCTTTCCTCCTGCCACAGAAATGGTACTGATATGGGCTGCGTAGGGATACTGTGATAGTTAAATGAGAGAGTCCGTGGGAAGCACTCAGAGCAGTTCTGAGCACCTGTGAGCAAGCCAGCAATCAACAGTGATCTGTCACCATCTGGGGCACCTTGACCCTGCTCACCAAGGCAGGGGGCCAGCAAGAGAGGCCTGAAAGCTCTGGGGATCTGGGCCCCTTTACCCCATATCCTCCAGCCCCTCATCTCTGTTGGGGGAAGGGTGTCTCCTGGCCCAGGTGGGGGCTCGCGATGCAAGCTGGTACCCATCCCTCTGCACCATCACTGGACCTAGGAAGGGCTGAAGGTAGCAGTGGTGCTGGACCTGTCACCTCTGCAGTGTCCCTAGGCCTCTTTCCAGCCGAGGGAGGGGCTGGGGGAGAGGCCAGGGGAGGGCAGGCCCACACGCCAGAGGAGAATCTGTGAACTGGGAGCAGCCATAGGTCTGGTGGGGCAAGGCTAGAGTCCTGGCCTGTCACCCCCCTCTGCCCTACAGCGAGGACGATGCTGCCACCGTGTACCGTGCAGCTGCGATGCTGAATATGACGGGCTCTGGGTATGTTTGGCTGGTGGGGGAGCGAGAGATCTCTGGGAACGCTCTGCGCTACGCCCCGGATGGTGAGTGTTGGGCCTCTTCAGGTCCCTTGGGCAGGGGGTCCCTGCAGACTCTAAGCCCACCGCACTTGCCCCAGGCATCATCGGACTACAGCTCATCAATGGCAAGAACGAATCAGCCCACATCAGTGACGCCGTGGGCGTGGTGGCCCAGGCCGTGCACGAACTCCTGGAGAAGGAGAACATCACCGACCCGCCCCGGGGCTGCGTGGGCAACACCAACATCTGGAAGACAGGGCCACTCTTCAAGAGGTGGGCAGGTCTCTTATAGAGGTGGGCGGGGCTCTCTTCTAGAGATGGGCGGAGCTCTTCTAGGGTGGGCGGCCTCTTCTAGATGTGGGTGGGCTCTCTTCTAGGGTGAGCAGGGCGATCTTCTAGGATGGGCAGGTCTCTCTTCTGGAGCTAGGTGGGTCTCTTCTAGAGGCAGGCAGGCTCTCTTCTAGGGTGGGCGGGCTCTCTTGCAGAGGTAGGCGGGGCCTCTCAGGAGATGGGCATACTCTCTTGAGCAGGTGGTCCAGAACAGTCTGCGGCCTACGCCCTACAGATGGCAGTCATCTGCCTGACTTACCTTCTCTTCCCCCATCTCTCTTCCGCTATCACTTCCACCCCCCTGTGCTAATCACCCACTTCCAACACTGACATTAACGCCTTAAATGTCAGTGAAGCTGTGGCTGCTTCCACTGCTCCTGAGCTCACCTTTTAACACTGTGGCCAATGCTGAGACCCACCCCCCGCTGGTAGCTGACAACCCTTTGGAGGAGACTCTTGCTGCAGATGGGGACAGGGGCATCCAGGCATCCAGCAGATCAGACAAAGAAGCCCTCAAGGATGGAACCCAAGCCTGTAAAGAGCCAGGGTTGGCCAGATGCCCATGTGGATAGCCACAGTGGCACTAACTCACAGCACTCTGGACACTCTGCCACTCAGCACATCACCAAGACCCTCCTCCGCCCCTGAGTAGCATGTGCAGAACACAGTTATGGTGCCCACAAGAGTACACACGCAATTACAGATCTATGCAGTGTATGTGCTCCGACTCAGACAAGCATGTACCACACACATGTGCCACAAGTACGTGCAAGGAGGTGCAGCCACACAAAGATCAGATGTGCTCACACATATAGCCCCATGGGCACACTACATGTGCACACACACAAGATAGGACTTAACTCTCCTTCCACCTCTTACTGGTGAAGAGGCAACTGCACCCCACCTGGGCTTATTCCTCCTCATTTGTAAAGCAAGGATGGCTACTGGGAGGTTATACTGTCTCAACCCACAGAGAGCCCCCAATAGGGTCTGGTGCTCAGGAGTTTCTGAGCTACCATAGCTGTGCTCTCCATCTGGTGCTGGCAGGCAGTCACACCGTCCATCAGATTCCCAGCACGAGGGTGTGATGTCTGCTAATCTTTCCTTTCTGTGACTGAGGCAGAAGAAGGCGCTCGGGCTCAGAACCAGGGAGAGGGAGCATCTCTGATAAGTCTGCCCACACTGCCCTCTCCAGAGTGCTGATGTCTTCCAAGTATGCAGACGGGGTGACAGGCCGCGTGGAGTTCAACGAGGATGGGGACCGGAAGTTTGCTAACTACAGCATCATGAACCTGCAGAACCGCAAGCTGGTGCAAGTGGGCATCTACAATGGCACCCATGTAGGTGGGGGTCATGAGGGGGTGGGGGCTGGGGCCTTAGGGTCCTGGGGCCAAGACCCCTGCGTGGCCACCCTCCATCTCATACTCCCACCCCCAGGTGATCCCTAACGACAGGAAGATCATCTGGCCGGGTGGAGAGACAGAGAAGCCCCGAGGGTACCAGATGTCCACCAGGCTGAAGGTGGGGAGCCTACCCCCTGGGCCAGCACTGACACCCCAGACACTCCATCCAGCTCTTCAGACCCAGAGGAGGGGACAGTGAGGCCAATGAGAGTGACCAAAGGAAGTGGGGAATGGACCAGCACCTGGGTGCTGTAGCCCACAGCTGGCACCACAGAGGAAGCAGGGAGAGCAGGTGGAGAGATGAGAGGAAGCTGCCGGCCCTCCATCCCATGGGCTCTCTCTAGTGCCTCTTCTGACCCAACTCCACTGAGACCTAGGGATGGGACTCACCTAGGGATGAGCTGATAGGGGACAGAGGGACTGCTAGGTGGCTATTCTGTGGACTTTAGCCTCAGCACTCTCTGCCTTGAGTCCTGGTTCTTGAGATGCCACATCCACACTCATCATCACTCCTCTGGGTGGTCCTAGCCACCCCCATCCCGTCTTCACAGCCTCCTGCTGTGTCCTGTCTCCTACTGCCTGGGCATTCCCCATTGCAGGCTGTTCCCTGCTCAGGTCTCTCCCTAGGCCCCTGGGAGCCCCTCCTTGGCTGGCTATTCCCCTCACAACTTCCCTTCCTGCTCCTTTGTGCTCATCCCTGGCCCCTCCCAGGCTCCTCTCGTGAGAGTCCCTCCATATGCTGACCCATACTAGCACTGGGCTAGGATCTTAGATCACCAAAGGCAAGGACCCTAAATGCAATGTGCCCAACAAAACTTCTCCCAGCGTTTCCAGGTTCTTACATGTCTCTTGAGCCTGTTTGCTTTCTGAGGCCACCTCCATGGCCTCTCACCTCGATTCCTGTGTTAGCAACAGCCCACGAGTCATCATCCTTCACGACAGGCAGAGTGGGCTTTTCCAAAGCAGTTTGATACCTCGTGTTAAAAATGTCTGAAAGTAAAAGCCCAAACAGTGATGGCTAGATGGTCCCATTAGGGTTGCCAGATGCTGATGCTTTGTACACTCGTTTTGTTTTGTTTTGTTTTTTGTCTTACCAATTCTTTAAAGACAGGAACATAGAGTTCTTGTATAATAGAAAAGTACTTTTTTAATTTTTTAATTTATTTATTTATGAGAGAGAGAGAGAGAGAGGCAGAGACACAGGCAGAGGGAGAAGCAGGCTCCATGCACCGGGAGCCTGATGTGGGATTCGATCCCAGGTCTCCAGGATCGCGCCCTGGGCCAAAGGCAGGTGCTAAACCGCTGCGCCACCCAGGGATCCCCAAAAAGCATTTTTAAAAAGAAAAACATGATGAAAGTTTGAAAAGCAATAATCTCCTGCCAATGCTCCACTGCTCCAGGGAGAAGAGGTCAAAATGCTGTCCTTGCAGAGGAGACTGGCCAGCCAGCCCCTGCAGAGTCACCCTCTCCCTGCAGAGCCACCCACCCTGGTGGGCCAGCAGACAGTACCTCTCAAACTGACCCCTGGCCTACTCCGCAGGCCCAACTCCACCACCACCTCCTCTAGGGCCCCTGGTCGGTACTTTGCGTTTGGTTCAGCCCCCCTCCCCCCCGCCGGTCCCATATCTGTCCTCCTCATCCCCAGGCTCTGGGCTCCTGAAGGACAGGGAGAGGAGAGAACCGCAGCATAAGCCTGGGTTGAGAGGCTCACTTTGGGAGAGAACAGCGCCCATGGAGGAGAGAGGAAGGGAGCACAGCTAGGAAGTCCAGTGCCCACTACCAAGGAAACTGCGGGCCAGGAGATGAGACCAGGGTGATCCCTTTGGTCCCAGGTCCTGTGCAGACTCGGAGTGGATGTCACACATGCCCCTGTCCTCATGGTGGGCAGCGGGGGTTGGAGGGGAAGGAGGGGAGACAAGGTGTGCTCTGCGCAGGACAGGGGTTTTTCATCCCTGAGCAATCAGAGAAGATGCTGGGCAGACTGGACATTCCAGCCGGCTCCAACGGAGCAAGTGATGCCTAAGCCAAGTCCCCAAAGACACGTGGCCAAGAGGAGCACCCCCCAGTGTTTCAGGAGGCCACAGCTTCTGAGCAGTCTGGGGACCCTCCTGAGGACGGTGGCCAGGGAGCACGTGGAGCTGAGCAGAGGGACAGCAGCTGGATTTGGAGGGCATCCAGGGGGTCTGGGCGCTGAGGCTGGGTCTTCTCCCCGGCGCCCCCAGATTGTGACCATCCACCAAGAGCCTTTTGTGTACGTCAAGCCCACGCTGAGCGATGGTACATGCAAGGAGGAGTTCACCGTCAATGGGGACCCGGTCAAGAAAGTGATCTGCACCGGGCCCAACGACACGTCTCCGGGCAGCCGTGAGTGTGGGTCGCGGGCGGGACGTGGGTGCGGCGGGGCCGAGCAGCCAGAGCTCGGTGGTCAGGGCCCATCTGCCTCCCTAGCACGCCACACAGTGCCACAGTGCTGCTACGGCTTCTGCATCGACCTGCTCATCAAGCTGGCGCGGACCATGAACTTCACCTACGAGGTGCACCTGGTGGCTGACGGCAAGTTTGGCACTCAGGAGCGGGTACGCGTGGATGGCGGCGTGCCGCGAGGAACGGTCCCGGTGCACGGGGTCTTGCGATGGACCGGGCCTGGGGTGGGCGGGGCCGCGGGCTTGGGGGTGAGGGGTAGGGCCACGGTGGGCGGGTTCTGTGGGTGGGGCCTGGGTGGGCGGGTCCACGGGCTGGGGCGGGACCAGGGTGGGCGGGTCTGCGGACTGGGGCGGCATCTGATGTGGACCGGTCAGTGGGCTGCAGCAAGGCCTGATGTGGGTGGGGCCCGCGGGCCTGGGCAGGGTCTGGGTGGGCGGGAACCCAAGAGCGGAGCTAGGGTAGGAGCCTAACGCGGGAGCGGGAGCGGTGCTGACGGTGTTGGCGCCCCTCCGGCTGTCTCACTCCGCAGGTGAACAACAGCAATAAGAAGGAGTGGAACGGGATGATGGGCGAGCTGCTCAGCGGGCAGGCGGACATGATCGTGGCGCCGCTGACCATCAACAATGAGCGGGCACAGTACATCGAGTTCTCCAAGCCCTTCAAGTACCAGGGCCTGACCATTCTGGTCAAGAAGGTGGGCAGGGCCTGGCGGGGGTGGGGCAGGTCCTAGGTGAACTCGAGAGGCACTGACCGCCTGTCCCCCTCCAGGAGATCCCCCGTAGCACACTGGACTCGTTCATGCAGCCTTTCCAGAGCACGCTGTGGCTGCTGGTGGGGCTGTCAGTGCACGTGGTGGCTGTGATGCTGTACCTGCTGGACCGTTTCAGGTGAGCGCGGCCCCGGGGGCCTGACACCTCCACCCGCGGGCTGGGCAGAGCAGGTAATGGGCGAGGCAGGGCTGCCCCTGCCGCCCTCTCCCGCCAGTCCTCTGCTCTCCGCAGCCCCTTTGGCCGATTCAAGGTGAACAGTGAAGAAGAGGAGGAAGATGCGCTGACCCTGTCTTCAGCCATGTGGTTCTCCTGGGGCGTCCTGCTCAACTCAGGCATTGGGGAAGGTGAGGCCACACCCAGGCCACAGCTCACTCAGCTCCTTCCTGCCTGCCAGGAGCTGACTGTCCTCTGCCCGCAGGCGCCCCCCGAAGCTTCTCAGCGCGCATCCTGGGCATGGTGTGGGCCGGGTTTGCCATGATCATTGTGGCCTCCTACACTGCCAACCTGGCGGCCTTCCTGGTGCTGGACCGGCCTGAGGAGCGCATCACAGGCATCAACGACCCACGGGTGAGGCCTGACTGGCTGGGGGCAGGGAGCATGAGGTCAGCGGAGCTCTGCCTTGGGTGGGCCTGGGAGCAGCTCTGAGCCCTGCCCTCTGACCCTGCAGCTGAGGAATCCCTCCGACAAGTTCATCTATGCAACTGTGAAGCAGAGCTCAGTGGACATCTACTTCCGGCGGCAGGTGGAGCTGAGCACCATGTACCGACACATGGAGAAGCATAACTATGAGAGTGCAGCTGAAGCTATCCAAGCCGTGCGGGACAAGTGAGGGGGACAGGTCACGCTGGACAGGTTGGGGGGGCACACCCCAGAGAGGCTGAAGCCATCCAAGCCGTGCGGGATGAGGGAGGGAGGACTGCGGGAGGGTGGGGGAAGGAGCATGCACCCCTACCAGAAAAGTGAGAGTGTTCAGGCTGGATGGGAATCAGGGGATGGAGACAAGAGGTGAGATTTCCAGGTGGGCAGGACAAAGGCGTGCAAGGTGCAGAGGCGAGGGCTGCCTGATTGTGCCGGGCGCCTATAACCCCTGCTCCTGCCTGCAGCAAGCTTCATGCCTTCATTTGGGACTCGGCGGTGCTGGAGTTTGAGGCCTCACAGAAGTGTGATCTAGTGACCACTGGCGAGCTGTTCTTCCGCTCAGGCTTTGGCATTGGCATGCGCAAGGACAGCCCGTGGAAACAGAACGTCTCCCTGTCCATCCTCAAGTGAGTGCCACACCCACAGCCTACTGCCCTTCACTTTTCTCCGAGAGGCTCCCTCCAAGCCAGACCCCTCCCCAGAGCCAGACCCTACCACCTAGGCACACAGCCGTTGCCCCTGAGGGCCAGGCCCCCCACCCCGGCCCCCACCCACCCTACCACTCCCTCCTAGGTCCCACGAGAATGGCTTCATGGAAGACCTGGACAAGACATGGGTGCGGTACCAGGAGTGCGACTCTCGCAGCAACGCCCCTGCCACCCTCACCTTTGAGAACATGGCAGGTCGGTCTCCCCATTTCCCTCAATGACCCTGCTGACACTGGGGGGACTCCCTAAGGGTCCTGCAGACCGGCCAGCTGCTAGCTGAGGTGCTGACTGCTGGCCCACAGGGGTCTTCATGCTGGTGGCCGGGGGTATTGTGGCTGGGATATTCCTCATCTTCATCGAGATCGCCTACAAGCGGCACAAGGACGCTCGCCGGAAGCAGATGCAGCTAGCCTTTGCGGCAGTGAACGTGTGGAGAAAGAATCTGCAGGTAGGACAGGCCACCCTCCGAGGCCTGGTGCCCACGGCCCGGCCTGGCCCCGGCCCTCCTCCATCCCGCAGGCCGAAGCACTGGCTCCGGCTCCCAGGAGCCCATGTGGGCAGGACTGGAGCTAGGAGCCACGACCAAGGGCAGCATTGCTGGGGGCCCACCTGCAGGTGGCTGCCCCCCGCAAAGCCTGGCTCCAAGCCTCTGCCTGGCCCCTCTGTCTCCAGAGTCGCCCGCCGGCGCCCATTCCATAGGAAGGCAAACTGAGGCAGGGTAAGACAGGGACCCATCTGGGTGTAGCACGTGAGTCCAAGACATACTCTGCCCTCGCCGCCCCCTGCCTCTCCTCGGCACCCTCCAGGGCCCCCCTCCTGCTGCCCTACTGTGTCCTGTGCTCCCTAACTCCAGCCTGAATTGGGCCAGCTGGCCCTGCCTGGCACTCCAGGTCGTGTCTGTGGGAACGTGCTGCCAGCAGGAAATAGGCTGCACGTCGGGTAGCCACAGCCCACCCGGGATAGGCAGGCAGTGGGGCCTGTGTGGGCCTGTGGGCTCACGCCCCGTGGTCCAGTTCTGGCTTCCGTCTTCTCTTCTCTTTCTCTGGGCACCTCCCCAGAGTCTGTGTCCGGGGATGAGGCTGATGTTCAGAGAGGGAGGGCCATAGGGGGACGGGTTACTGGAGCGCCCACACCTCTCATCTGCCTACTCTTGCTCTTGGGACCTGGTCACTGCTCTCACTGGCTGGCACAGGGCCATGCTGGCCATCAGACCCCAGGCCAGGGTCTGGAAGCCACCTCCATCTATCTCTCTCTCCAGTTCATCTTGCCACCTGCCTTTGGCCCCTCAGCCCCTTCCTGAATCTTGGTGCGTCCCCTCCGGGGACAGAATGGCTGGCCGGACCCGAGGGGCGACTCCTCCAGTGCTCAGGGGACCCTCCTCCTAGGGACCCCTGTAATCCAGGGTCACCCAGGAGCCAGGGAGCCAGGCTGACCCCCCAGGAAGTGAGCCAGATGGGACCCTCCCCCCCACAAGCCCAGCCCCAGCAAAGCAAGGTCAGGCCCAAGACCAGGCAGGCATAGAGGCCGCCTGCACATGTTCGGCTGCTGGTCTGTCTGTCCAGCACAGGGAAGCAGGCAGGAGCGAGGGCCTGAGTGGCCGGCCAGGCTGGGCAGCAGCCCCCGAGGAGCAGGCGAGGGCAGGTGTGGCCGCCACCCTTAGCTGTCTAATCACTTATACATATTCATTTTAGGATAGAAAGAGTGGTAGAGCAGAGCCCGACCCTAAAAAGAAAGCCACATTTAGGGCTATCACCTCCACCTTGGCTTCCAGCTTCAAGAGACGTAGGTCCTCCAAAGACACGGTAAGGGGAAGAACGCCCAGTCCCACGTCTCCGACTCTTATCTCGCCCCGCCCCCGTGTCTGTGTCCCGTGCATCAGGCGTGCCCTCCCTCTCTCCCTTACCATCCCATCCACCCCACCTCTGACCGCTGTGGTCCTTCTGCCTTCATCTCTATTTGCCCAGCACATGAGGTCTTCACTCTCTCTCTAGACCTTTCTTGGTCCTTTCTCCCACTGGCTCTCACTGGGTCCTCTTTCCCCATGTGTCTCTGCGTTGGTCTGCCCCCCATGCCATGACGCCATGCGCCATCTTGAAGCTGTGTCATGTTGTTGGTCAGCCAGTCAGCCTCTGAGCCCAGGGCCGCTGGGAGCCCAGACCAATCTGTCCTGGACTCCTCACCTGTCAGGAGGCCACACCACCTCTCTGTTACATCCGTTTCTCCAGCCTCTCCCAGAGGAGCCCACTGCTCTCTCTCCCCCCCTTGCGACATCCATGGAGGGGTGGCTGTGATGTCCCATCCGCCCATCTGTCTGGCCGCCAGCCCCGCCACCCAGACACCTGTCTCACGTGTCTCACCAGAGCCATGCCTGTTGCATCCCTTCCATGTGGTCTCTGTGTGGGCCGGGGCTGGGGGCCGGGCCTGGCTCCATCTGGGTGGACGGCTGGGGCCTGAAACTGGGACAGGCCCCCAGCCACAGGGGACTGTCAGGCGGGGACTGGGTGGCAGCAGAAGGGGTGGAGCCCACCCCAGGCCGAGCTATGGTCTGCAGAGCTGGAGTCACTGAGGCTCCCACACAGAGGCCCAGGAAGGAGAGGCGTCCAGGGAGGGGACCAACGCCTCAGGTCCTGACCCTCCAGCCCCTCCCTACAGGACGTCAGAACAGGTCTCCTGCCTTGGGCAGCTTGTCACCGCACCAGATATGCACACTCGGACTAAAAGCCCTTAAGATGGACCCAGCCTTACTAGGGGCACCCTGGTCCAAGGTGGGGAGGGGGCCGCCCAGCATTAGCACTGCCCTTGGCCTCCCTGCAGCCCAGAGGCCAGCTTGGCTTCCATCCTGCAAGGGCTTATGCTCCAAGTTGGAAATGGGATTTGCACCCCCTCCCTATCCACACACACTACTCAGTACACTGGAGGGGGGGCGGATCTCCTGGACACAGACAGGGTGTGGCACAGGACAACCCAAGTCCAGAGTGAAGCCATCTTTGTGCCCCAAGGAGGGCCTGTGCGGCCTGGCCGCTTCCCAGAAGGGGCGTGGCCCTGGGGGTGGGTGAAGAGCGAGGGCCTGGGAGCAGGGAGCATGGCCTGGGGCCTCACAGGCCAGAGGCAGTGGACAGGGGACCCTCCCAGGGGTTCTAGGGGAGATCTAAGACCAGAGAGGAGGGGTGGTGCAGCAGGCCTGGGGAGAGGGGACCCTCAGAGCTTTAGGGAGGAGGCCAGAAGTTCCACAAGTGATAAATTGCTCTGTGAGGGCCTCCTGATCCCCCCACAATCCACCCACCCAGAGAAAACCCTCATGCCCCTAGCTGGTCCAGGGGCAACTCAGAGACCTTTGAGGTGCCTTTCTGGGGACACATTCCCAAAAGACTCTTTGCCCGAGCCTCTGTGGGCACCAGGGACCATCTCCCAGGCCAGCCCTGACACCGTGTGGCATCTGGGGCTGTCTCTGCCCTGTAGGGGTGACTGGGGGTACTGCCAGCTGGAGGGGCTGGGCGGGGGAGGGCAGCCCAGTTCCCATCCTGTTCCGGGCTGGGCACCTGCTTGGAGGGAGGTCTGGGAGGGGGGCTCTGTTGGGAGGGGTGGGTTCGATCTGGCTGCTAAGATCCTCTGCCCCTGTCCTGTGGCCGGTCTGGGCCAGGGCAGCACTGGGCGCTCAGGGCTGGGGTCCCTGGCGGCCAGCGGGGCCAGCGGGTATTGATTGTTGGTTCTTATTTATAGAGCACCGGGGGTGGACGCGGCGCTTTGCAAAACCAAAAAGACACAGTGCTGCCGCGACGCGCTATTGAGAGGGAGGAGGGCCAGCTGCAGATGTGTGCCCGTCATAGGGAGAGCTGAGACGCCCTGCCCGCCCTCCTCTGCCCCCCTCCCCCGCAGACAGACAGACAGATGGACGGGACAGCGGCCCGGCCCACGCAGAGTCCCGGAGCACGACGGGGTCAGGGGGAGGAGTGCCCCCCAGCCTCCCCCAGGCCGTGCCCGCCCGCCCGCCGGTCGGCCGGCTGGCCGGTCCACCCGTCCCGGCCCTGCGCGTGCCCCCGAGCATGGGGGCTAACGGGCTGCCTTGTCTGTGTATTTCTATTTTGCAGCAGTACCATCCCACTGATATCACGGGCACGCTCAACCTCTCAGATCCCTCGGTCAGCACCGTGGTGTGAGGCCCCCGGAGGCGCCCACCTGCCCAGTTAGCCCGGCCAAGGACACTGATGGGTCCTGCTGCTCGGGAAGGCCTGAGGGAAGCCCGCCCACCCAAGACTGCCCACCCTGGGCCTCCCGTCTGTCTGTCCGCCCTGCTGCCTGGCGGGCAGCCCCTGCTGGACCGAGGCTCGGACCAGAGCAGCTGAGGACAGGCCAGAGCTGAGCTGGCTGGGCAGGGCCACAGGGCACTCCGGCAGAGGCAGGGCCCTGGGGTCTCTAAGCAGTGGGGGAGGGGGCTGATCTGGCCCCAGGGCGGAGGGGCTTGGAGCAGAGTGAAGCCCCATCCTTCCCCAGCCACCAGTTGAGCCCCAGTGGGGGTGCAAGGCCCCAACTGGCGGGGTCAGCCCTTCTCCAGTGCCTGCTTCTGGCAGCCTCGGCTCCATCCCTCTCCTTTTCTTACCTTCCACGTCCCTTCTCCGCTTGACCTCATCGGTCCAGCCAGCCCAGCACCTCCGGGAGGGCAGCCTCGGACCCTCAGCCTGCAGCTGCCGCCCAGGAGCGCGCCGGGGCCCCTCCCCCCTCCGCCCCCAACCTTCTCCCGCGATCTTCGCGAGGGGTGAGCCAGCTGTTCGCCTCCTCCAGCCTGCAGCCCATGATAGGCCTCCCCACACGCTGGCTCGGGACTGTCCTCAGCCCTGCCCGCCAATTTGTACAGGCCCAGCCCTTCCCGTGTCGAGCGCGTGCCTTCCCCATGCGGCCCGTGCGCAGCTGCGCACTGCCCCTCCGCCCGGGGCCGGCGCGCACTGCCCCCTGACCCGGTGTGTGCAGTGGTGATGTCTAAAGGAATGTCGCGAAAATTTCTGTGTCGTTGTTGACGCCTGCAGGGGCTGTGAAGGAGGGCGGGGGACGGAGGAGGGGAAGCCTGGACAGCAGCCCAAGGCCGCTCAGGGCTGAGCCTAGGCGTTGGGGCTCCCAGGGCCGGGGTCCCGCGGGCCCTTCAGCCAGCCCAGGGCAGTAGCGCAGTGGCGCCACGTGCGGCAGGCGGTGAGCATGGAGCCCAGCACCAGGCAGGCGGCCAGGCTGGCGAGGAAGGAGACGGGCCCGAGCGCGTAGACCACGGCCAGGTCCCGCGGAGCGAGCGGCTGCGCGCAGTGGCTGAAGGCGGCGTCCGGGAAGGCAGTCAAGGGGCTGAGCGTCAGGCGCCCTGGCAACACGCAGAGCAGCGTCTCGGCCTCTGTGGGACACGGTTGCAGGGTCAGGTGGCGGCCGCGGGGCGGCGGTGGTGGGGCCCAGCCCGCCCACCCTGCCCATCCTGCCCGGAGGGCTCACCTGGCGCCGGCCTCGGGTGCCTGCGCAACCAGGAGCAGAGCGGGCGCAACGCGCAGCCGCAGGCCCAGGGGTTGCCGCGCAGGTGCAGCGCGTGCAGGGCGGGCAGGCCGGCCAGGAGGCCCGGTGCCAGCGCCGCCAGCTCGTTGTCCCGCAGGTCAAGCGCGTTCAGCAGCGGGAGCACACCCAGCGCCGCTGACTCTAGGCGTGCCAGCCGATTGCCGGCCAGCGAGAGGGAGCGAAGTGCGCTCAGGGGCGAGAAGGTGCCGGGCGCCAGTGCTTCCAGCTGGTTGGCGCTGAGGTCGAGGTGCTGCAAGGCGCCCAAGCTCCAGAAGGCCCGCGCGTGCAGCCAGCGCAGCCCATTCTCGCGCAGGTCCAGGCGCAGCAGCGTGTCAGCGCCGGCGAAGGCGCCGGGCGGCAGCGCGCGCACACGGTTATGGTCTAACAACAGCGCGCGCAAGCCCCGGCTCAGGCCCGCGGGCACCGCAGGCAGAGCGCGCCCCGAGCAGTTGGCCTGGCCGCCAGGCGCGCACGCGCACGCCTCGGGGCAGTGCGGGACGCCCGGGGTTCCCGAAGAGGTGGCGGTGGCGGACGACTGGGACCAGACTGGCCCCGGCGACAGCAGCAGGAGCAGCATCGGTGGCGTCCACCGCGAGACAAAGCAGGGGCTCCGCATGGGGCAGCGATAGGGGCCCGCTGCCCGTGCGTCCCTGCCGCGCCTGCAAATATTAAATCTCCGGCCCGAGTGCCGGCAGTTCCTGTTCCACGGCCAGTCCCGCGCCTAGGGCGGGGGCTAGGCAGACAGCCAGCGCCCTGCACTGCCAGCCACCAGTCCCAGAGCTGGGCTTCTCTGACTCGGTGCCAAAGGCGGTGTTGACAAGATGGCCTGTGCCTCCTCCCCTGCCGCACCCACCACCCTGGCCCCCTGAGGCCTGAGCCACTAGACAGCGCTCACCCCCACCTAACCCATCAATGGCGCCCATGCAGCGGGACTCCGTGAGCCCTGCGGCTTTCCCGTCTCCTGCCTGGCAAAGGGACCTGAGCACACACACAGTGGCTCCCCCATGTAGGATGGTCTCATCAGTACAGTAGCTAATTGGGGGGTCAGGAGCACATGACCAAGGCCTGAGCCCAGGGGGGAGGCTGGGAGGTGGAGGGGTACGGCACACCTGAGGCAGGAGACACAGTCCTGTCTGCCCTACCTGGCCCTCCAAGGACTGTCCTTGAACCTCAAGGAGACAGCGTGGGTAGGGCACAGGCACCAACCCAAGTCTCCTGTCAAATGCTGCTCCCTCTGGAGTCATCAGAGTTGCACATCCTGTCCTGGGGTTTTCCAGGGTGGGGGCAGGGTGGACAGGGGCCCCCAAACCATGCCAACTTTATGGGACAAGGCAGCAGGAGGATGCAGGGAGGAGCTAGGCTGAGGCCACAGCCGGAAGAGGTGGAAATACCAGGGCTGTGGTTCCCAGCCCTGGAGAGTGGGCAGTGGGTGCTGTGTGCAGATACTGGGCATCCTACCCCTACAAGGTAAAGGGGATGACCTGTGTGTACATGAACCCCTTCCCACCCTGTGATGCAGCTGCAGAGAGACTCGGGGAGGAGCCCACAGGGAGGACAGGGCAGAAGCACTAAATACTGTTTAATTCCCCTCCCCCAGACTGCCTGTGGCCCTGCTCAGGGACGGGTCCTCTATAGTCACGGATTGGGCCATCGAGTCCACGGGAATGCTCATGAGGCCTTGATCCTCCAGGGGCGTCATCATGGAGACCTCCAGCTCAGGGTCCATGAGTTGGGACTCCACCTGCACTGAGTGCAGGTCCATGTGATCTTCCTGGACCCCAAAGTGCCCCACCAACCTGCATGACACGGGTGGGGTCAGACAGGCTGCAGGGAGGCCTGACCAGCCCCCAGCACAGGTCTCACGAGGCGCTGACCCCCCTCCCAGGGCAGGCCTGGCCCTAAAGTTAGACCTGCACCTCCTGGGGGGTCAGGACCTTGGGGGAAGGGAGGGGGCAGGACCACCCAGGGGGTTAGGACCTCCCAGGGGTGCAGGACCTCCCAGGGGCCAAGACCTCCCCAGGACACAGCTCACCCCTGAGGTCCTCTCATGAGGTCACTTACCTGCTGTCCCTGTGTCTGGGGCATGGCTCACTGGGATGGGGGGCGGGGAGAACAACAAAAGGAGGTATGAATCCTGGAACAATGCAGCTGACCTCCAGAAGCCCACAAGTGCCCCCCAGCCCAACCTGGGAAATGGTGTCCCTCAGCTACCCATGATACCCCACCCAGGGGCAGAGGCCCCTCCCCCAGCACAGTCCCGTGGCCCTCAGCCACCCTCCCCACCCTGGGGCTCACATACCTCTTGGCTCGCATGACACCGACTGCCACGATGACAAGGGCACAGAAGCAGCTGGCACTGATGCCCGCCAGCACCACAAGCAGGGCGATGAGGGCCTCGCGGCTGAGGCCAAGGCTGCACTCGCAGTACGTCCCAGCTGCAGAGACAGGGCCCGTGCGGCCGAGGGGCCCTCGTCACCCGCCAGTGGAGGACCCCTAGGGCCGCCCCTCACCCGGACGGCCACCAGAAGGACACGGGAGGGGCCCTGGCAGGGGCGGGGTTCAGGGACAGGAGGAGGCACCTGCAGTAGGGATAAGCAAAAGGGACAAACATATCAGGCCAAGGGGACTGCCAACCAGGCAGGAGTCAGGCTGGGGACAGGGGGCCATGTCCAGCCCCCAGCCCCACCACACACCTCTGGACGGAACCCATCGGAAGGTGCTGACCTCACAGTAGGGCTCTGGAGTGGAGCAGGTGGGGGCAGGGCTTCGGCAGGAGCTTCACTGGCGCTCAGGGGCTGGAGCAGAGGAGCCCTGGGCAGGTGGCCCTGGGCTGGGGCAGGTAGAAGGACAGGCGCCTGGCAGCCCCTTCTGAGTGCGCTGTTGGACCCAAGGCAGAGGCAAGGATGGGGCTGCCCTGGCCTCGGAGGATGGTGCTTCATGGGGAAGGGGATGGAGCCCATGCTGAGGCCCCTGGGACAGTGGGAACAGTGGCCTGAAAACCCTGGGGGGCCCACAGCAAGGCCACTGTTTCTCGGCTGGGACGGCGGGGGCTGCAACAGCTCAGCTGACCAATACCAATGTCATCGCCCTTCCCCCAGAGGCTGGGACAAGCAGGGGCCAAGGAGGGGTGAGCCCTGGACCTGTGCTCACCAGCCCCCCCACACTGGCCATCCTGGGGAGGGTCCCACCAGCACCCCAGCTGTGCCCAGGTCCATCAACCCCCCCAGGATAAGTGGGGAGCACTGCTCACAGGTCATCCCAGAACCATATCCTCAGTGCAGCTGCCTCAGAAGTGGCCACAGGCAGCACCTAAGGCTCCAGTTACATGTGCCATCCCAACTTAGAGCCCTCCTGTCCCTCTGAGGGCTTCATTCCTGTGCACCTGCCTGCCACCCAGACAAGCGCTGCCTGAGGGACTCACCTGCAGGCTGGTACCTTCAGAGTTAACCTCGGAGTCCTCCCAGGCCTCCTGCACTGCCTCTCCACTCTGAGGTCTCCACCCTCCTCCCCTAACACCCTAGCCAAGTAAACCACCCAGGCAGCAAGAGATGCCCCACCCACGGTGGACCCCACGGGACACCAGGGGCAAGTCCCCCTCAGGGACTGGCCAATAGTTTCAGGCACAGCTCTGTGCTTGTCAATGAATGCCATGACCCAAGACACAGCTTTTTTACCAGGTTCGTCCCCAAAACAAGTCCAAAGGGACATGAAGCAGGTGTGCCTGTGGCCAGAAGCTGCCACCCTGCTGGGCCAGTCTGGCAGGTTTGCATCCTGGTAGGATGACAAAGGTACACTCAGCCCAGTGCCAGGTGCCCTTCTACCTGGAGGGAATGGAGGGTGTTGGAACCTCCTGGGCCTCCACCAGAAAACAGAGGAAGGCAGGAAGCCCTCTTCCAGTGACTGCCAGCACAGTAGCCCTGGTGCTGGGCACAGCTCACGGGAGGGAGACACTGGCTGATAAGACTACAAGCCTAGTTTCCACTTCGTCCTCCAAACCTGTAGTGAACCGCATACTCTGGGTAAGAAGGGGAAAGTCCCAGGAGAAGGCTGATGTCAGGGCCCTGCGCAGCAAAGTGGATGGGGGGAACCCAAGGGCGTGGGGGCTCCAGGCCTGGAAAGACACCCTGGGCAGGTGGGAGCAGACTGGTGGAGGTTCATTCCAGATCCCCTGCTGCCTGGGGGAACATTGCCACCCGGCACTGGAGGCTGTAGCCCTGGTGTGCAGGTCTGAAGGCCTCCAGCCTGGGTGGAGCCAACATCCCTGCCCCCCACCCACTTCCTGGGACCTCAGGGGCTGAGGCAGTGCCAGGCCCCCCAACCCTGTAGACAGGACCCTTTGTGCTACACTGGGAAGGCCTGGCTCCCAGGATTCTGTACCTAAGCTCCTGACCGTGTCTGAGAGCATGGAACCACCTTCTCTGTGAGCCACAGAGTCAGCCCCTCCATCCAGCAGGGGATGCTCAGCTGCCCACACATCTCACGCATTCCAATGATGTTGGTCCCAGCAAGAGCCCTGGAACCTCAGGTCAGGAAGAGGGCAAGTGACCAATAGGCTCCTTCCCAAGGGCAGAGTGAGGCCTGGGGCAGGAGGGCCCTGGTGTCCTCCTGCCTGAGCTGCAATCTCCCAGGTGGGCCTTCACCAGCTGCTGTAGCCTAGCAACACCCTTGTGCCAGGACTCCAGGGTTAGAGCCCAAGCACAGGTATGTAAGCCAGGACCAGACCTGGCCACTTGGGTTTCCCCTCACCTGCTCCCAGGAAGCAGGTCTGGCTAAGTTGGGGTAAGGAGTCAGGTCTGGAGGGAGAACCTGGACCACAGGCCCATGATGAGCCCACAAAGCCACCAGGACAGGGAACGGGTAGAGAACCATTTGCTTTACTCTGCACTCTGGGGGCTGGGCAGGGGCACCCACCCACCCATCTTCCTGGTGGGCACATCAGCTGCAGCTCTTGGGCAGGCGGTAGACGCCGGCTGAGTAGACGAGCTGCTGGTCTCGCACCTTCTTCTGCAGGAAGCCCTGAAGCTCCTGCAGATCGATCTCGGCCAGTGCGGGGCCGGTCACCACGAACATGCGCAGCATGCTGTAGATGCGCTCCAGTGACAGGCTCTCCAGATTGGTCAGCATGGCCTGGATGTATGTCCAAAAAAGCTGGGGAGACAGAGGCCAGGCCAGCTGTTAGGCCAGCACGCGCAGGGATGCCACCTGGCCAGGGGCCGACCCAGGCCACCATCCCCCACCGCAGCCACACCAGCAGCTCCTCCTCCTTCTGGTCGGCCTGGGAAGCCATGCCGGAGTCACTCTCCTCGTCGCTGTCGATGAGCACCATGCTGTCTCGGTCCTGGGGCCGCTCCTCTTCAACGACAGAGAAGGTCCCAGCAGGCTCCTCCCTCAGCACGCCCTGCTGCAACCACACGGACATCCGCCGCCGCAGCAGTGCCACAGGCATCTTCACCACCTTGCTCAGCTCCTCCAAGGTCCAGGTAGCTGTGTGGAGCAGCCAGGAGCACTGGACACACGGGGCAAGGCCAAGCTTCCCCCTGCCCTGTCAACACCCTCCCCCATAGCCTCCCGGCATCAGTCTGCTGGGAGGCATGGCTGGGACAGGCCAACTAGGGGTCAGCAGGCTCACCTTGGTCCTGGAAGTATAGCAAGACCACCGCCTGCACAGGAGTCACCGCTACAGACAGGGTGCGGTCAGCCAGCTCCACATCCATGGTCACCAAGCCCAGAGTATGCTTCCAACTGAGGGTCCGCATCGCCTGGGGAGGGCTGGCGTCAGCACAGGCGGCCCTGCAGGTCTGGCTGAGTCCAGCTCAACAGAGCCCCCTGACTTGCCCCTACCAGGCAGGTGGCAGCAGCAGGCAGAGTGGAGGACGGGTCTCCTGCCCTCTCAACCTCCCCGGTCTAACAATAAGCACTGACCACCCAGGGAGGGCTACTGATAGAATCATGTGGTCTCCACAAAAGACATCCACATCTGAACCCCCAGGACCCCAAAGCATGACCTGAGCTGGAGACGGGGTTGTTGCAGATGGGCCCAGTTAAGACGAGGTCAGCTGGAGTGCAATGGGCCCTGATGGAACATGGTCAGTGTGCTCACAGGACAGAGGGAGACAGAGTGAGGACAGATGCAGAGACTGCAGGGATGCAGCCACAAGTCAAGAGACACCAAGCAAGGCCTGCAATCCCCTCCCCTCCTCACTGGGGGGACAGGAAGGACCATCCCACAGCCCTACTGACACCCTGGTCTCTGCAATAGCCTGCAGAATGGAAGACAAGCTTGTTTTAAGGACTCCTGTTGTAGCACTGTGATAGCCCACACTTGGTCCTGGGAAGGGGGTGCTGCTGTAGCAAATACCCAGGATGTGGGAGTCTACGGAGTGGGGCGACGGGCAGAGACTGGAAGAGCAGCAAGCACATGCTCACTGAAGAGACTGTTGGCAGGAACGCAGCCAGGAACATGGTGAGGTGTCCACGTGAGGAAGTGGCTGAAGCAATGGAGGAATCGTGACCACCCTGCCAGCTGGTGGCAGAGCCCTATGTGAGCACGACGGATGGAGCAAAGTATAGGAGCGGCCTCCCAGCAGCACACAAGAGGCCAGACTGTGCAGGGGAGCTAGCAGGCGGGCCCGGACGCTGCCCCTGCTCTGTGCGCGCTGGAGACGGAGCCCAGAGTGCACCAGAGACCTGGACTCTGACACTAGAGCTGACTAGTGGCTCCAGAAGAGCCAGGACAGAGACGGGCTGTCCAGAGAGGGGGTGTGTGAGGGCCCGTGGCCTAGAGGCCGTCTGTTTTAAGAGGCCCGGTGGGCAGGCTGAGGCAAGAAGAATCCTCCCCTGGAGCCTCCAGAGACTACAGCCCTACAATCCATAACTCGATTTTGCCAGAACTAAGACAATAAATCTGCACTGTTTTAAGCCCCTCGTGGTACCTCGTTCTGGCAGCCCCAGGAACCTGACACAGTCAAGTGCTAAGAATCTGTCTGCAACCCCTGAGCTCTAAAGGTGGAGACAATAGTGAACCCAACTTTGCAGAGAGAAAATGGGAGCAGAGCACAGCTTGCCCAGGTCACAACCCACAGAGCCATGGACAGGCTCTCTGGTTCCAAGGCCACCACTCCAGCCTGCAGCGGGGAAAACATGAGGCTCAGCAACAGAAAGCATAGCAGTAAGCACAGGTGAGGACACTCTGGCTGCACGGCCACCCACACATGTCCAGCATGACCATCAGGCCAAGATTCAGCTGGTGGGAGGCAGAGGTATGTGGTCATAGCCCTGACACAGCCCTGCGGCCTGCCTCTGCCCCACCAGCATCCAACTGGAGTTAAGACAAAGCACGCTGCAACATGGCCATCACATCAGGCCCATCAGGCCTAAGCAGAAAGACGTGGCTGAGCCACTCCTGGGACTCATGGCAAGGCCCCAGTGCCCCAGTGGGAGGCCTCAGGGCCTCTCCTGGCAGTGGCTACAAGCCATCAAGGCAGCCAGAAAGCAGGGAGCACAAAGATGCCCTACCCACGGAGGAGTGGGTGTAGTGCCAGGAGGCTCCAGTGCGAGCACCCACCATGGTCAGGCGCAGAAGCCACAGGGTGGTCCAGTGGCCCAGCAGGAGCCAACAGGAGCTGCACAGACCCTTGCAGTCTTGTGCAGTGCTACCCTGAATATGGTCCCCGCTCTGGCCTCCTCCCTGCAGAGTGCCTAGCCTTACCCCTGCCCTTGCCTGTCTCTGAAAGGAAGCCCTCCTCCCTCCACAACTAGTTCCCCTGGCCTAGAACAACAAATTTGGAGAACCCATTGTCCCTCCCATGACCTGGCTCTGCTGCTCCCCCACCTCTCCCCACCCCAGCCCACTGTCTCACCCCCAGGGCTCTGTCCTGAGGGCTCCTCAAGCCCTAGCTGCTGGCCCATCTCTGGAGGTGTTCCAGATGCTCCCAGGGCTCAGGCTTTGCTGCCCAGACAC